TTCTCCGCCTCCAGGGCCGCTACTCGATCTCCCAGAACCGAAGCCTCCTGATCAATCTTACTGATCTGCTCCTCGAACCTCGCCTCCATAAGAGTAGTTGTTGCCCTCTCCGATTCTTGTTCAGATTGGAGTACGCGAATAGTATCCTCCAGGGCCACCGCCCTCGCCAAAGCCTCAGACCAGGCTCTCTCAATGTTTTCCAAACCAGTAACCTTGCTCTCCGCACCCTTCCTGACAACGACGAATGGTGCATAAGAGGCTGAACAAAAAACGAAAGAAGAAAAGAGGAAAGACAGTAGACGAGGATGTCATCTCATCTGTAAGGGGCCTACGTCCAAACCTCTCGTGAAAAGTCGACCAGGTGTGAACTCCCACTGTATGGGGAAGAATGGCCTCCACCCATTCACGAATCCCTTCGACAGGCGGCGGGGGCAATCTCTCAACTGCAGAAAAATAGAGGAGTTTAATATCCGAGGAAGCTGGTCAAACATTCCATTAATTAAAGATGCAAACTTACGGGCAAAGTTCCATCTCTCGGGGAATCCCGTCGGGTCCGCCACAATATGCTCAGTCCGCACATAATTTTTTTCATAGAAACGATGATTAGTTCTGTCGTCCATCTTAACCACCAGACCTTTCGATCCCCGAGGACGCTCGTGAATCATCGTACCTCGAATTAGTTTTGAAGCAAAAATGCTCAGCGTATGGCCCAAAGTGACCTCACGACTAGCAAGTTCCGCATACTTGAGCAGCATAAGAAACAACTTGTACAAGTAAGGCGAAAGCTGAGCAGGGCACACCTCGTAGTAACGACAGAAATCTACCACCAACATGGGAAAGGGAAGTGTGTACCCGATAATGAAGGGGTAGACGTAGAACACACAATATCCGGGTGGTCGAAGTGAACTCTGTCATCCCCCTACGCCGGCCATATCTCGACGAAATTGGGGATTCCCCACCGTTCCCTCAAATCTACAATTCCCCTTTCTCTCACAACGGAAGCGACGTGTTCCGGCTCCACTCCACTGCCGAAGCTGAAGTCAGTCGCGTCCCTCCGGGGTGAGGCAAAATCTCATCTACCGAGGGAATCTCCTCATCCTCCACCGCATCCACTTCTCCGGTGACCTGAACAAAACTCTCTGGTATCGGATCGGCAGCAGGGAGATCATCACGAGAAGAACCACTGGCCATTTTTTAGCAGAAAACTCTCCAGAGAAAAGTAACACAAAGAAAGAACAAAAGGTTTCAGTGAGCAGGAAGGAAAGCAAGACATCGAGATATATCTGAAAAAGCGATATCTGAAGAACTCTATCAAACGGATGATGAAGCGAATCAATCAAATGACAAAGTTTCCTAATTTATAAGAGACATAAATTCTCTAAGCACGAAACCCAAAAGTCGCCATTTGAATCTGATGGGGCACGTAATGTTTCAGTTCCCCAGGAACATGTGTCGTAATGGTGGCATACACGAACTAACGCTTCATTTGCCAAACCGGCGTTTCGATTCCGAAACTATCGCAACGGTCCACGAGTGCCGAAAGAACACCTCTACCCCACCAAAAAATCCACAAAACGCGACTATGGAACGGAAAGTTGGGGGTCAAATTCCTCTCGACTACACTGCAAACATGATCCGCCCGTCGAGCCCGACAAAGGACGACCTTGATAGATGGAGGGACTAATTGTATTGGTCAAAATCTGACCACCACGACCAGATTGCCCACAACCCCTTTTTAGCAATCGGGTAGTGGAAGTCAATAGGGTCCACTTCATGTANGAGAGAGAGAGAGCCCAAGAAGGCTTTTAGGGGGGCATCTCCATCTTTCTGACAAAGAAAAATAAGAACAAAAGTTCCATTCTTGTATCCTAAGAGGTAAAGCAATTGTAATCCTCCTTCCTCATCTATCGATGAAGAAGGAAGTATCGAATCTTAATAAGATTGTTGATAGTTCATTCGTCCCATATGTAATTATTACTACTAAATTTTTCGATCTGGAATCAATTAAGTTTGACTAAGATTTACTCCTTCATCTTTGATTGATTTGTTCAAAAATGTTTTAATATCTTTTGAGTCAAGTAGAGTCTACACGTATAAATCAAGTTATGGAAAGGACTTTTGACCTACTTTTGACCTAATTCAACGCTAAAAATTATTTATGAGATTATCAATATCAAATAATGAGATACAAGTCCATTTCATTAACCAATGTGACGTAAGACTATTTTGTATCTGACGCACGGCTAACAAGTTGGAGTTTTCAACTCCTCCATGCCGATGAATAATGGAGTAGCAACCTATCTTCTTTGGCACTTTGCAGCTTTTTTTGTTTCACCTCAATCTTATCCAGCCACTAACCTTTCTTTTTCTTTTTCCTTTTTTGCCCTTTTCCAATTCATATAATTTGGTGCTATTGACTAGAGGTGTTCATGAAAATTTGGAAAATTCAATCAAAACAAATCAACCGATTAAAAATCGATATTTTTTTGGGTTTGGTTTGGATTTTGTTTTGAATGTTATAACCGATCAAATTTTGTTTGATTTTGCTTTTAATGAAAAATAATCGAAGAAAACCGAATTAAACCGACTAAAGTAAATATTTAAAACTTATTATTGTACCAATATATAAGTATATTTTTATATAAAATTTTATGGTACATGTAATTATTTGAAATTTTAATCTAATTCTTTGCTATTACAATAATCTAGTTTTTTACTTTTACATTCTAGTTTGATTTGTAGTTTTCTTTTGCTAAATACAAGAACCTATTTCATGCTAAAAATAATCTATTTTTACTTGAATCCTTAAATTATTCATCATTATTTGATTCAATTATCATCAATATATCTTAGTAAATGATAGATTGGTTTGATACTATTACGTTGATTATTTAGTCGCCGGAATATGTGTTTGATAATGTTTGTCTCATATTTAAGAAAAAATCAATAAATAACCGAAAAAACCAAAAAAACAATAAAATCGTCATAAAGCGAATAGATAAAAACAGATTTAGTTGGTTTAGTTTGATTCCAATATTTAAAAAATTAATTTACTTGGTTTAGTTTATTTTTAGGAAGAAATCGATCCAAACCGAACCATGAACATCGAATTGGCTAAAGTTGAAGTTTGAGTTTTTCAATTATTCGAGAATAAGCATAGTAATATAATGCATAGTAGTTCCAACTTTTCATAGTTGGAAAAAAGCTAAAAACTTTCTCTCTAATACTATCATGAATCCGCAACCCTATGAATCCCAAAACACAATACACCCAAACCCCCAGATATTATGCATGAAACACCAACACAAAATGAATTAATGAACAAATCTTCTTTCAAGGAAATGTTAATTACCTCTGACCCAATGATTTTTCCCCAAACCTAGGACAGTCCGACATGGATCTGACAAAAACTTCCCCAGAAGATGAAGCGTCCAAGCACTCCTTAATATCTAGTGCACGAGGCATCAAACAAATCCCTCTAACTGAAGAAGACATGCAGCGTATTTATGAGCCATGGAAATACTCTATCATAATTAAATTGGCGGGGAAACGCATATTACGCCTATCTAAAAAAGAAGATCCAGGAACTTTGGCATCCAACAAAGGTTTTTTCACTAATAGACCTAGGAGAAGACTACTACATCATCAAATTCAAAAAAAGGTAAAATACGGAGAAAGCCATCCATCAAGGTCCATGGTTCATTAATGGCCACTTCTTTCTATATCAAAATGGAAAACAAACTTTGTGGCCATAAAAGAAAAATTAATCACCTCAGCAGTATGGATTAGGCTTCCTCATTTGCCAACAGAATTTTATGATAGTAAAATTCTAGAAAAAATTGGGAATGCTATTGGTCGTTTTCTAAAAATTGACGTTTGTACATCAACTACTCTGAGGGGTCGTTATGCAAGAATTTGTGTGGAAATCCCACTAGAAATCCCAGTTCAACCATTCCTTTATGTTGGCCATCATAAATAATACATTCACTAAGAAGGAGAAAACTTTCTCTGTAAAAAATGCGGCAGGCTTGGACACACACTAAGACATTGTAGCTATGTGCAAAAATCTATAGATAGCAAAAATCCAACAAAGGACCAAACTACTACAACAATGGAGAATTTAGAGGAAGAATGGAAAACTGTCTCCTTCAATAAAGGAAGAAAGAAAGGGAAAACTTCCCATCAAAACCTCAATAATCCAACCAAAAACACCAAAGGCCCGGGTATCTCTGTTAATCTCTTCAATGCTAATACAGGTACATTCTTGGATACTCAAATGTTATAGTACAAACCTACAGAATCCAATAATTATCAACAACAAATTAGTGCTAAGAACCCGACCACCATGGTTAAAGATCAAACCACCCTGCCTATTAAAAACCACTTCTCTATCCTGGAAAATGAGCCGGTTGCAATGGAAACCACTAATGATTTAATTAACAACAAATTAAAAAGCATTAATAAAAATGCATGTGAACACTTGTCCTCTCAAAACAAAGACATAGTTGTAGACATGTGATTTTTGACCCTCCCCAAGATTTTTTATATATTAGCGTAAAATATTTAATTTAGGCATAATATAGATATTTTAAGTAATTTTTGACTCTTTTACTCTATTTTATTACAAGAAAACAAAATTTACAAAAATAGATTCATTAATGTTTTATAGTCATTTTTAATCTTAAAAAAAAATATACAACAATAATATCGTATTTTTATTTTAATATGATATTTGAAAATACCAAAAATAGATTTGTTTAATGGTTAGTTTTATTTTAAATAATTATTTGAATAGTAGTAATAATTAATAAATGGGCCCGTATTTTTAATCTCGTTCGCAGCGAAAGAATAGAACTTGGGCTCGAGCAACCCATTTTTAGGCTTAATTTTGGACCTAGCTCACAATTGCCAAGCTCATAATTCCTAGGACCATACCCCTAAACCTAAAAACCCTACCAAAAAACCAACAATATAAAAAGAAGAAAAAGAGAAANCCCAACGTTGTCTTCTCCAGATGACCCATTGCCATTGTTCTTCTTCTGCAATAGAGAACCAAAACAAAGCACCCCCTCTCCCCGCTGCCTTTTCTCCAACAGCAAAACCAACAAACACGAGCCGCTGCTGCTTCTCCATCAAGCAACCCCATCGTTGCCTGAAACTCGCCGGCAAAACGAGCTCCACCAGCTCGTCGGAGTAACGAGTTCCGAACGCGACGAGTAGAACCAAGCGACCTCACACCAGTAGCTTCCAACGAGCCCCCCTTTTTGAACCTGGAACGATCATCTTCTTCATGAAGATTGAAGAAGTTAGCTCTTCATCTGTCTAACACCAAAAACGACCCCCCTTGTATTCCATCTCCTTCACAACCCCAGTTCTAGTCGCAACACCAACCAAAAACACTTCCCTGACCAAGAAAGCCCTCCAACGTCGTAACTTCCAATCTACAACACACACGCACATAGCTGCAACGGGAGGGCAGCAGCAGCGAAAGCAGTAGGGGTGAAAGGGAGGCGACGAGTGGCGTTCGAAAAGTCGATGAAATAGTAGTCTCGATATAGGTTCGTCCAAGCTGTCCGTCTGCGAATCCGAGGTGTCGATGCAAGGTCCGTTGGATCCTTCTCTGTTTTTGTACGTGTTGACTTTGATCATCAATAAAATTTATTCGACAATTGGATTTTCCGATGTTGAGACTCGAAGCAAATTTGAAAAAAAAAATTCAGTTTCTAAGATTGATTTTGAAACTGCGTAGCCTCGTTTCGCTGCTGGAATTTTGTTGGTTTGAGTCAATTTTGGAACTTGCTTGTGAGATCTGCTCGGAGCCAGTCGTTGAAGTCTCGAGGTCGTTTCATCGAGGGCCGGTCACGGTTTGATTTTCGTACAAATTTCCATCGGAGCTTGCCGTTGCACTTTCATTTGGCTACAGTGAAAAGTCCGTTTTGATTCATCTCATTTACATGACTTTAAAGTCTCATGTGTTTTGGCTGAAATTTCTCTTTGGTTTAATAATCATACTTTCTTGTTGCTGTTTATAAAATAAAATCTGACATGGATTAATTTGCTACATATATTTGTTTAAATTGAAGCTCAAAACCTTTGAAATCAAAAAAGGGCAAATGTAATTGAGCAAGATATATATACATGATATTAGTTGTTGTTTCCAATTGACTTTGTATGGTATTGAAGTTTAGTCATAAGTTTCTTTCCCTCTGTTTCGTTTCATTGGATGGTTATTTGGCATTTTGGTTCCTTCTGTTTTGATTGATGTTTGTCTTAATAGGTGTTTGTGAGCACCTAATTTTTTATAATATTTTTTTTATCACTTCTTCTATGTAAATATTTTAGGGGTTTTAACCTATAATTTTTAGCTTTGTTACACTTTTTATTATAGGGTAAAAATACAAAATTTAAAAGGTGAATTATTACTATTACTATTACTATTATTTTATTTTTATTTTTATTTTAAAATAAAAATAAAAAATTACGAAAAAATATTAATTTTTTTAAATTTTCGGGAGTGATTTAAAAAATAAGAAAAAGGGAAGTATTGAATAAAAAAAATAAAAGTAAAAGTAGGGGGAATTCTCTTTTAAAAAGTAAAAGAAAGTAGAAAATTAAAAAAATAAAAGTAAAGTTTTGTGGAATTTTTAAAAAATAAAAAGTAAAAGTAAGTTGGAATTAAAAAATAAATATAAAGGTATCTGAAAATTAAAAAAATTTAAAGTAAAAGAAATTAGCATTTTTAAAAGAAAAGCAAAAGAAAGTGGATTGTTTTTTAAGAAAAGTTAAATAAAGTGTAATTCTCTTTTAAAAAGTAAAAAAGGTGAGATTTTAAATAAGATAAAAGTAATTAAAATTGAAATTTAAAAAATAAAATAAATAAAGGTGGGATTTCTTTTTATAAAAAAATAAAAGCAATTTGTAAGTGGGATTTCTTTTAATTAAAAAATAATAAAATATTTTTTAAAAACAAAATCTGAAAAATCTCGAAAATTTTGCTATAAATAGGAAAGAAAAAAAAAAGAAGAGAGGAGAAGAAAAACAAGAGGGGGCGGAGAGAGCGGTATACACTCGATATACACTCTGGATACACTGGATATACAGGGGCAGAATTCATTTTGGAGAGAGTAAAAAAGATAGAACCAAATTTTCTGAAATATTGAGAGCGGAAGAACACCAGAGAGAGTTCAAAGCTAGAAAGAGAAAACAAAGAGAGATTTCCGGACTATTTTTCTTCTCCATTTTTACTGGTTTTCTCCGTGTTGCTGGGATTTCTGGATTGAGGTGTTGAAGCTACTGTGTTGGGCTTTCTGCTGCTGTATTTTGCTGTTTGCTATTGCTGATTGCTTACCCCATTTTTCTGTTCTACATACCAGGTACATGTCCTGAAACTCGATGTATGAAAATATCCAGTTGAAAATGAATGAAGTGGAGGCCTATTGTTGTTGAAGTGGACGCCTATTGTTGATTTACTGCTTTCATTATAGTGTAATAACTGTACTGATGGACTGTTAATTATAAGTTTGTGCATTTGAACCGTTAAGTGTGTGTTAGATATTTAGAAATGCATATGAGTTTAGTTGAGTATTCGTTGTAATAATTCCATGCTGGACTAACAGAATAGTTTCTATTAGTTTAGTTAATTTCCGGTTTTCCTAGATCTGTATAAATGGTATTTTCAAGCTGTGATTAATTAGGCTGTAGACTGTTAAAGTAGTGTGATACTTCTTCTGATCATGGGAGCTTTATATTTAGTAGTGATGATGTGAGTTAATCTATAATTCTGAGTTTGAGTGGTTGTGTGTGGGTTCGAAATCAGAAAGTTAAAAGTAGATATGAGATATGTAATTCGTAAGGTTAATTTAGGCAATCCATTTTCGTCCAACATCCTTAATTCTAGAGTTTCAATTCTCATATGTGGTCACGTTAGTGTTTAATCAAAGTTCATGAGTCAGCATTTTAATAAAAATGAGTCATAGTAGGGAATTTGAAATTTGAACTAGTATGCACCATGTTTGAAATTGTGATCATAGGCAGTTTACGTGGGTCATGAAATCTGAAATCAGTTGCTTTCCAACTCATGTTTAATGTTGCATTGAATTTATTTTACTGGCTAGTTAATTTTAGTAGTAGATTCATCAGATTTGTGTTCTTAATTAAATTGAAATTCCATTTCGTGTAAAGACAAGGCTTAACATGCTAGTCCCTAAACGTTTGGGCTTCGGGATAATTGATGCACGGCCCAGGCCAGTTTTGGCCCCTTTCTCATTTAGGCCTGGACCAAGGTCTGTTTTGGCCGATTTTATGGTGTATATATGGTTTTAAATTCCCTCTGCTGGGCTCACATCGGAGCCCAATGGTCGGATGTTGGTGCAAAAATATTACTTAGTTTGCATCAGTCCAGTAACAAATTAATTAGGGCCTTTCTTTTATTTTAGAGACAAATTAAGTAGAAAACTATAGATTGCTCTATGTTTGCACTTTAAAATAATAAAATGGGATAAGCCTCGCTAAACAAAATACATAAATTGCGGGGCCCTCGATAATTGTATATATTAAAATACTTAGATTTCGGGACGAGCCGTTTAGCGAATTTCATGGCCTTCCCCAAAATAATAATGCGTTAGTCTCTTTAGGCGCGTATTTTAATAACTTTACCTCCCTAAACTCGGGTGCGCATTTATGTGACCCAAATCCAAATCCCAACGGTGTTAAAGTATGTCCAAAAACCATGGGTGCATTTATGTGACGTGATTCAAGACTTGTTTTAATNGAGGAGTGCACGCTGGTCGTGACTTCTTTCTGTTAGTGTCTTATTCCAAATAGAACGAGGTTCGGACAAGTTGCAAAATCGGATGATCTTTTGGTTACCGATACGCAGCCCCCCGGCTCGAGTTGTCCACTCGGGTAAGCCAGGTCTAGAACAAATAAACCTAGGTTTTAAACCTAGTATAACAATACCTCATGCCAGATCCCTAGTAGGAACGCTTGTTTNACCTTCTCCCGGGTTAACAGAATTCCTTACTCAGATTTTTGGTTCGCGGACTGTAATACAGAGTCAATCTTTTCCTCGATTCGGGATTCAACCGGTGACTTGGGACACCATAAATCTCCCAAGTGGCGACTCTAAATCTTTAATACTAAATCCCGTTTTGATTGTCCTTAATTGGAAAAACTCTCTTATGCCCTTGCGGGTGTAGTTAATAAGGAGGTGTGACAGCTCTGGCGACTCTGCTGGGGACCAAGAACCCAGAACTTTTGGTTCAGGGTTCAGAATTCGAGCTTATAATAATTGTTATATCTGGCTTTGTTTATTATCTGATTTTATTACATGTTTGGGTCTAATGTGCTAAATGTTGCTTTTACCGCTTTGATATTATCTGAACTGTATATATAAACTGCTACGAAATCCCTCTCTTCTCTCTCTTGAGGAGTGCACGCTGGTCGTGACTTCTTTCTGTTAGTGTCTTATTCCAAATAGAACGAGGTTCGGACAAGTTGCAAAATCGGATGATCTTTTGGTTACCGATACGCAGCCCCCCGGCTCGAGTTGTCCACTCGGGTAAGCCAGGTCTAGAACAAATAAACCTAGGTTTTAAACCTAGTATAACAATACCTCATGCCAGATCCCTAGTAGGAACGCTTGTTTGCATCATGTGCATTTTGACTTTGGGGACTCAACACAGGGGTTGAGTCCGTCTAGGACAGGTGTAACCAAAATAACAGACCATCTTGATGCATCCTATGTGCTACATGTTGCATTTCTTCGAGGGTAAAAGGGTCATTTGGCGGACTAATGATAGTTGAGGGCAAATGAAAAAAAAAAGAAAAAAAAAGAGAGGGTGAAGTGTGAAGATAAAGCAAGTGGGGCCTAATTATGTTTTCTGTTACATTTGTTAAGAGAAAAAAAAAGAGCTTGGAAAATTCAAAAGATTTTTATACTTTTTCATCATTTTTCAAAAATCAAAAATCAAAAAAAGGGAAAAAGAAAATAAATAAAAAAAGAGTTTACATATTTCATCATTTTTTCAAAAAAAAAGAGAGAAAAAAAACATATTTTCTCTAAATTAGTTGTTATTTTTACTTCTCGCCCGTATCCTATCAGCCCGAACTACGCGAACCTGATTCTCGTCCATCGGGGCGGGATACATAGGCAACCCACATAGGTTCCGGTCTTCTTAGGTTCTTGGCTTTGCGGGGTCTTAGCCAAATTTTGCACTTCTAGTCACTTTTTGGCCAAATAAGCTATTTTGCAAAAATNCTTTGCGGGGTCTTAGCCAAATTTTGCACTTCTAGCCACCTTTTGGCCAAATAAGCCATTTTGCAAAAATAGCCTCAATCATGTCTTGCATGTGTCCAGTAGGGAGTGTTATTGTCTCACATAGTGTTGGTTTAAAGTTTTCTCATACAGGTGTGGATTTATTTACCGGAGTTTGAGCATGACAGACACCCCGTGACCATCCAGTCAGGATCGCTCAATCAGGAGTTGCTTAAGGAGATTTGTTTTATTTTTATGTTTTGAGTCCGTTCTTCATTTTATGTCTGTCTTTTACTTTCTAGTTTTGTACAATAATGTCAAGTCTTTTGTTATTGTATTTTCTTCTTTATATTTGAAAAACATGTGTTGTAACTCAAAAATCCAGAAAAAAAGAGATATTGCATTTTATATTTCTGTTATAAGTTTTCTTTAGATTACTAATTCTAGAAATGGAAAAAAGAAAAAATTTTGAGGTTGTTTTTCCTTTAGGCAATCAATATCTAGGACTTAAAATGAATTGTTTTTATGTTTCCTTTAAGTATATTAGGACCAAAATTTCAAAACAAAAAGAGAATTTTCTTTTAGTACTTCTTTAAAAGCTTTATTTAAGTTGTTAATTCAAAATCTAAAAAGATTTTCTTTTGAGAATTTTCTTTGGGAAATTAGTGAAAAATGAAAAAATAAATTCTTTTTATTTTCTTTAGGATATTGTACATAGAAGAGAAAAAAAGACAACATACTTTACCTTTGATTTATTTTCGGAGTTTCTCTTTTAGGCAATCAAAATTGAAATCAAGAATATTTTTTTTTGCTTGTTTCGAAATCTTGCGTCAAGATATCAAATGAAAATTCAAAATATTTTTCTGTGGTTTATTCTTTAGATTTTCTTCCTAAAAAAAAGAATCAAATTTTTTTTTCTTTCTCTTCTACGATTTCCCCTTAATAATTCTCATAGAGTATTTGTTTCCAAAAGAGATAAAAAATATGTGTTCGTTAAGCTTGAGTTTGGAATAGGTTATAGAACATTCAGTTTAGAAAATTCAAATTCTTTTAGTTCTTTTTTTCATCAGAATAGTCATTAAGGTAAAAAAAATGTTAGTTTGTTTACTTTATTCTCGATCTTCCAGAACTACGCAAAGATCTGATTCATGCGGGGTCATGATACGTAGGCAACCTACATAGGGTTCGATCGAATCACTTTTTTTATTAAAAGAAAGGAAAAAGGGAAACGGAAAAAGAGAAAAAAAAGGTGAAGTCATGGGATGTGAGAAATGAGAAGGAAGAAAAAGAGCGATAATCAGAAAGAAAAAGGGGAAGGAAAATGAGCGAGCTAAGAAGTACCAGAAAAACAAAGAAAAGAGAGGTTGAAATGAACAAAATGGGATGATGCCAACTGACCTTTGTACCCTCGAAGTCATTTTAGAACCGATAACTGTGGCTAGGTGCATTGCACATGAAGTGAGATTATCTTATGTTAAATACCCTAACGCTAACGTGATGGTTTCCTTTTGTTATATTCAAGAGCAGAAGGGTGGTTGGTTTGTGGTGGATATGCCGATTTGAGCCTTAAATGGGCTGAACTATAGTTTTTGTTGTTTAATCAAACTATTATAATTGTGGACACGTTCGCGTGACACGGTTATGATTTCTTTAAAAATAAATCGGAGTATACGTTCGCGTAACTTCGGCTAAACTTTCTTAATAATAATAATGCGTTATTAATTGTGAACACGTTCGCGTGACATGATTTTTGACGCGCCAAACAGATAGGTACACGTACGCGTGACTCATTTCGAGATAATTTTTCTTTATTAAAGCGTTGTAAAAGGTAAAAGTACATAGGTTCCGAAATCCGTAATTAGACAATTTAGTCAAGCCAAGTATAATCAAAGCGGTCGTGCTAGAACCACGGAGCTCGGGAGTGCCTAACACCTTCTCCCGGGTTAACATAATTTCTTACCCGAATTTCTAGTTCGTGGATTGTTAAACAGAGTCAAGCTTTTCCTCGATTCGGGATTCAACCGGTGACTTGGGACACGATAAATTTCCCAAGTGGCGACTCTGAATCTTTTGACAATAAATCCCTTTTCGATTGTCCTTTAATTGGAAAAACTCCCTTTATACACCCCTCTCGGGGGTGTAGTAAAAAGGGAGGTGTGATAGCTCTGGCGACTCTGCTGGGGAACGAACTCAGAATCTCTGGTTCAGGGTTCAAGAATTCGAGCTTGCTAATATGATTTTGCTTGGCTTCATTTATTGTTAATGTTACTGTATTCTATGAATTTTTGTGCTAAATGCTATCTGTTTACCGCTTAATATTGTTTGAATTGTATATAACTGTCTTTTTACGCCACCCCTCTAAGTCTTCTGAAAATGGTGCATACGTTCGCGTGACCCACTTTTTCTGTAGAAATTATACCAAATAGTTCGAGGCTGGGCAAGCGACAAGGCCGGGTAGACTTCAGTGCTCCCGGTA